GCCAACGAACCCCCAAGATGCTAGTGTGGCTAAGAACTGCCGCCACACTTGTAAATTGCTCATTGATGGAAGAAAGCAAGACCATGACCGGAAAAAAACAACGCTTTCTCTTAATTCTCTCCTGAAATGACGCCCACGAGACTTCACACCCACTTAGGTCTCGCCTGAGATGTGGCATTATAGGCCTGATTGTGCTAATTATCAGTTACTTTACCATCTCGGTTGGGCTCAGGAGATTTCCACTGTGGTGAATCGGGAGTTATTGCCAGTGCATATTGCTAGTTACTGTGAAGAGGCTTTATGGGAATCATCAACAAACGCACAGGGGGACCATTTGATCTATAAACAGCAGAACTTGTTAAATCTCAATAGATGAGATTTTACAGAGGAAGATGTGCACTCTTCAGAGGGACTGCAAACACATTACCCACAGAGGATAGACCAAAGTTACCTAGAATACTGTTAATGTACTCACACGTCAGCCTGCAGGGTAATATCACATGTCAGACTGACAGACTAGAATATGATACATGCTGAGATATTGTCTACTGAAATGTAACAAGAACAAAGCTTTTGAGTCCCATGATGCACCTGGAGCTTACAGGCGGTGTCATCAAGGTGAAAATATTGTACTCATGAATAAAACATTGTTTGATGATAATAACCTTCTTTAGTGAGGGTGATAACATCCATAAAAGCAGTAATAGCATAAACTAACAATTATCCTCATTAAAGATGAAACTGCATACACAGACTGAATGATTAAGTGTTTGGTCTAAAAAATATATCAAAAATGTAATTAAAACATTTACAAAAGAAAGTCAGCTTTCATATTCAAATGACTTGTTTTGTCTAACCTACAATTCATAATTGACGTTAAAAGAGCAATTATTAAAAAAGCTGCTAATTGTAATTTGGACTAATTGATTACAGACTAATAAAACCAGCACAAATGACCGTATAATCATATCAAAGGCAAATCTCTGCGCTCAATATTTCCAACAAAACAGACTCTAAAACCGTTGTTTGAAGAACAAAATGTTTCTCATCTTTAAAATGTTTCCTAAAGAGCGAACTTTAAATCATAGTTTTTCTGTGTACCCAAATGATCTGTACAGCCGGCCTGACAAATACAGTCATGTCAGAAAACCTTGTGTGTATACATTCAAACAAATGTGCGTTGACGATGTACTTTGCACTCTTTCCAGTTCATTCAATTATACGACTGCCAAAGATGAACCAATGAGCCTGGTGGTTTGCCTGCCTGCCAAGATGATAAGTTGTGTTTATGAGTGAATGAAAGACTAAAAAAGGAGTTGGTTGTGGAATAAAATAATGTTCGCCTCTGTTATTATTTCCTCTTTTCCCCTCCATCATACATCTTGTGGTTGGATGAATGTCTCCTTGGACCCCTGAGGGATGGAGTCCTCCTTAGGGGCAGTGACCTGTAACAATGCAGGTAATATTTGTTTTTATTCTGCCTGTTATTACTTTTAACCACTTGTCCCTCTTCAAATCCAATAAAACTGTCATAAATGCAGAGATCATTAAGTTCAGAGCTCCTCCTCTGCCTATATGTGTGTATTTAAACTTCAAGCGATGAAAGCAAGCAGGTGAAAGTCCTAAGAGTGGGTACAAATATGAGTGTGATCTGTTCCCATTGTGTGCTTTATTGAACCCTAATCTAATACAGTCTTGAAAAGTATTGAACCAGACAATTACTGAAATGGAAGGAGTAGAAATAACAGCGAGAGAAAGAAGGGGTCTAAAGGATTATCAAGATTTGTGAGGCAACTTGCGGGAATATATTAGAGTCTTCATTACATTACATTACATTACATTATATGTTACTTGTTAGACGCTTTTATCCAAAGCGACTTACATACTCAATACTGTGGGCAATCCCCACAGGAACAATTTGGGGTGAAGTGTCTTGCCCAGGGACACAACGACATGCTGACTGCAGTGGGGTTTGAACCTGTGACCCCCCTTATCCCAACACCAAGGCTCTATCCACTGCGCCACACGCCTCTTTAATTACTCTTCATCACTTACTATCTCAAATGTGATCAGGTCTGATGACCAGCCAGAGGACAAGCTGGATCATCATTTACATGTAGAAGTCAAGCACTGACCAAACTGTTAATAGAAGATTCTGATAATAGAGCTACCAAGCATGTCACCCTCTTTTCAAAACCCCATAATGCAAACAAACGGCGACAACGTCCACTACTTTCTTTAAGCTTTGTGCAACAACAGCTTTAGAAAAATGTGCCAAAAGCTGGCAGTGCCTGAGACAATCTGAGCTGCTTTTGTCTCGGTAATTGGCTCTGCCGCCAGAGAAGGCTGTACTAAGTGTTCAGCAGCTACTCAGGATCTCATCAGGAGTTTGTTGTTGGTTTTAAAGTTGTAAGACACATTTCAAAAAATGTAATTTGTTCACGTGGCACATGGTTTTAAAATATGTGGCTCGCTTCTGGCTTACCCATTAGTTGAAATGTGAATCTTTTAAAAATATCTATCTTTCTTCATTAAAATGAGCAGGAATGGCTGTACTGTGGGTTTAAATAACAAAAATGTTATGACTTCAGATGGTACATTTCTCTAGTAGTTGCTTTTATACTGTATGCATATCCGTAAGTGGTAATTTGATACAATTAGGACATCAGAAAATGTCCGTATGCTCTTGGCAAGCTGGGTGAACCTTTACCAAGTGCATCTGACAATCTGTGTATCTGAAGCACATTTTGGAAAGTCCATACTGCAATTGGTAGTTCCCTTTCAAAACGATAATATCCTGTATACATGTTCGTCAAGTAGACTGCGGCGTCTTTGAGGTGTTGCAGTTATCTGATATCTAAAAGCATCACTTCTGTTTACAGTAGACGGGTAAGAGAGTATGTGTAAGTGTGTAATACAGCCTCGCATCTATCTGTCTGTCACCATTGTACAAAGATCAATAATGAATCATTCACCATGCTGGCAAAAAGCTGCCGTATCAAATTCATAAATATGGATAAATAAACTGGAATTACTGTAAAACTGCCTGATTTATTTTTCAGGGAGGAGGAGAGAAGCTCATACTTGGCTGCTGCCCAAAGATGTCGTCACTAGATTTGAAAAAAAACATGACTTCTAATCACATCTTTCAAGACAGAAAACAGCCTCTCCACTAAAACATGAAATGATTTGCCCATAAAATATCAAATTTGGCCAAGATTGAAGAGTGGAGTGTGAAGGACGTGACCCCAGGAGACCACGGCTCAAGGCACATGATTGAGGTTGAAGGATTATTGCAGATCACACCCGTGACGAAGTGCAGAGTGAAGTGTAAATCTGTGTTTGCTTGTCTTTATGATGGCTGACAGTGTGGCTCTTTTCAGCCGCTGCCATTACTGGCCCTCTTCCCTCACACGCTGCCGCAGCCAGCAGCTCCTCTCAAAGTTAATAGTCCTCTGCAGGAGAAAGATATCTGCTCCTCGAGACACTCTATGAGTAAACCGACTGTGAAAACATATCAACAACATTGTGTCTGATCCAAACTATGGCCTAAAACAGTGGGTACAAATTGCTACTATGAAATGGGAGAAACAGAGCTCAATGATTTAATGAATTGAATCACTCTTTTGCGAATCAGTTAAACCTAAAATAAAATATGGACCTTAATCCCAGATCAAATGCACATTAAAGGATTTTGAATATATTGTTTCTTGTGATTATGATGTTATGTTAAATGTGTTAAATGTTCAAATTGATGTAACAATTAAGTGTTATCATCTCTCTGTGTGTGTGTGTGTGTGTGTGCGTGTGTGTGTGCGTGTGTGTGTGTGTGTGTGTGCGTGTGTGTGTGTGTGTGTGTGTGTTTGACTGTGTGTTTACATTGGTGCCATGAGCTAGAAGCATAGACACTGAGGGTTTATGAGGGTTTCCTTTGATGTTAGGGCGCACAGTGGATTATTTATGGCCTCAAAAGTGGCGGTAATCAAGAAGTTGCTGAGCTCCACGAGATAAAAGCTCATAATAAACAGATTCTTAGTGTGCTTTAGCCCTGATGATATACTGGGGCTGCATCCCAGTGGAATAAATATGCATGCAAAACTGTCGGCGTGATTATATCTTTCCACAAACAATGGCGTGCTGTTCAAATGTACTGGGGGCTTCAGGCACACTATGCCCCACATGACAGGATTTTTTTATTAACAATAAACCAGAAATAAATAGGTGTTTTCAAATTCTAATTAAGGAATATTTAGTCAGCAAACAAATGTGTTTGAATGGAAAGCATCTAGCACCTTGTCATAACAGGCAGTGAATTGGTGTAATTATTGCCTAGCGTCTACAGTTTGAAAGCGTTGTGTAATTACACAACATTATGCAAAGCACACATTATAAAACCTGGTGACAACATGACCGAGAAGTAATCTCCGTCAGTTACAAAACCACAGACAAACTGTTAGCAACAAACTTCACAAAAACTTGTCCTGGTTGGCACTCTTTGCGGCTTCCTCTCAATCCCAACCTGATTTCAGACCTGGCAACCCTCAGCTGTTCCTGACACCATAATTACAGACTCAATAAAAGAGCCATGTCCTTATTTGCCTCTTCTCTCACTCAATTTTTTCCATCTAAAAGAAACTTCCCTTTAACTCCTTCTTTGCTCTCTTTCTTTTATTTATCACATTTTCTGCCCCACGGAGACCCTTCAGAGGGGGGGAGAATCCCATCAGAGGGTAACACGGCGTGGCCGGTGACCACACAGGAAGCTTTTGATTCCTGCAAGAATGTCCTGAGCTTTGGAAAACTGTCAAACACACTGGACACAATGTTGGAGCTGAAGCACAAAGGCACTGCTTCAAATCGATCCACCACGCAGGGCCACTGCTGAAAACTTCATTATGCTAATATAGTGGCTACCCTTGAGCTAACTCAGACATAAAAGAGCGGTGAATGGCCAAAATAATAAATGTGTCCAACTACATGAAAGAAATAGGGTTTCTTACCGAGTTTAGGTCCAGGCTGGTCTGCACCCACTCCTTGGCATCGTTATATTCTTCCATCAGTCCCATAATGTAAAGTGTGTCCAGTGAGTCGATGATGGAGGCTCCTTTGAGGCCGCCTGAAAAACAAACAAGAGAACTGATTTAGTGCCCGTTTAAAAAGAGTCGCTTGGCTCAAGAGACATGTTTTAACTCCTTATAAAACTCTTTATTTTACAACCATAACATCACACGTGCAATCATATATAGGCAAATGTGGTTTCTAGAAGTTGTGTAAAACAACCTCTGATGTTCTTTGTAAATGCTTTAAAGGTCCCATGACATGCTTTTCCGGTTATTACCCGTCCCCTTGTGTGTTATGTAGCTTTTTATGTAGACGGTCTGCAAGTCACAAACCCTCAAAGTACACCCTGTGCTCCGCACACACAGTCTTATCTTTTCTCAGCCGCGGTGCTGCGCAGAGCTCCGTACACACACACTCTGAGCTCAGGCTGAGTGTGTGTCTGTGCTCAGGCTGAGTTCTGCTGTGTCTCGCTGTCTCGCAGACCCCACGCAGCACCCAGGAAACGACACCAGTAACCCAGCTCACACTGTCCGCTCCTCGCGCCTCAAAGGGCGGAGCAGCGAGCCCCGCAACGTCCCGCCAACACGGCACCCAGACCCCACGCAGCATTCTCATCTGTTTGTCAATACTGGTGTCATTTTCTGGTTGCCAATGCCATTGTAACACATAATCACTGATGTTCCGCTGTAACGGTGGTGGACTCATCAGAACAGAGTGGGCGAGCTGACCAATCAGAGCACAGTGGGCTCATAGGGAGGGGGGATCAGGAGCTCCAACAAGGCATTTAGGACAGAGAGTGAATACACATACTATACAGAGATGCTGTATGAGGAAACAATGTGATTTTGGAAAATTGAACAATGTAAATCTATTCTAGTAGACCTCAACAATGGAATTATGATCAGTAGAAATGGCCATGACATGGGACCTTTAAATCACAGTATAACATTCGTGTAAATATATTATGATGATTAGTTGTTGGCATATGTCTTAAAGTTGTTGACAGATTCAGTAAATACCACTATTTAATGCTGTTTTATAATAATAGCGTTTTACCATTTATTACGGTAGGCAGGGTATATGCAGGAATCCTGAAGTCAAATGTAAGACCTTTTAAGACCTTTTTTAAGACCCTTTCCATACATTTTAAGACCTCATCGTCACTTCGAGTTTTAACCGGTTACATTGGCGACACACTTTACCTCACATTTACTATATTCAGTATTGATTGTCCTTCCTCCTTATCTTCCAACCATTTGGACGCAGACTTGCATTTCCCCATAACGATGTTGTTTAACAACCGGCGTAAACGGGCCTTCGCGCGCTATCAAGCAGTGAGCGTGCGATGTCCTGTTCAGATGACGTCAAATCCAACGGGATGCCATAAATAAACTACACAGAATCACACTGCACACCTACGCAATGAATACATTCAGGCAAACTGTAGAATACAATCTCTTTGGACAATTTATATACTTATTGAAAACAAGCTACAAAATGTAATACATTGGAAAATGCCGTTTAATACTTTTTAATAGCCTTAATTTTCGCTAAATTGATTTAGCAACTTTTAATACTTTTTAAGACCCCGCGGACACCCTGGGTAGGTGTTTACAACATACTGCTAAAAGCTAAATGTTAGAGGTCAAATGTATATTTTCTCCCACTATTTTGGGGTGTGTAAAGCGAAAAAAGTAAAACATTTGGGAAGACACAAAGACAATCTCTTGTTAAACTGCAACGGAAAGTTTAATCTGTGTTACCAGCTGTTTTTTCCCACTGGTGTCGTTCCCAACAACTTTTATCTCATTCCACATTCACTACATAAATGTAAAATGTCTTTAAGCTGTTTAGCGAAAGCTGCAAACTCATAAAGTTCAAAGAGCATGTTGTCTTTTACTGAATTTGTTTTGACAGAGCTTCACAGTGATGCTAAGCTACAACATTTCAAACAAACCCACCCAGACGGTGTCTCTTTTGTAGAGACTTTCCAAAATGCTAAGAACAGATTTGTGTTGTCAAATATGTCAAATGAAGGTGAGTACAATAAAAAGCTGACATTTCATTAGTTACTTGACTGTCACAGAAGTTATTTGAAGGTAGATAAGTGCTCAGATTTAACCCCAAAGCTTTAATGTTCTCATTAGCAACAGTATCTTGACAGCATCTGAGATAAAAAGTCAAACATGAAAGTCTCTCATGAGTAGATCTTCAGTAATTGCTGCCGTGATGTAGAATGAGAATACTCAGCTGTGTGGCCCAGATGAAAAGCATCTTCACTAATAGATGAAAAGCGTCAGCTACAAAGCATCAGTCACTGTACTGTATGATGAAAGTCGAGTCATTTAGGAATCAACCACCAGAGGGGAGAAAAATAACTGGTACACAAAGATAATAGCTAGTGTTTAGCAGCTGCTCCTGGATTACACACTAGTGTATGTGCTGAGTACATGTTGCACTCTGTGTAAAATATTGTGTGTGCAGTTATGTGCATTCTTAATAAATCTCCTTTATATGCCTTTCTTATTTTTAGAAACTAAATGAGAAATGCTAAGTGGTGTTTATTCCATGCTGGTGGCCTGATGAGACTTTGCATGGCCTTTTTTCATTCTGATATGACCAAACATTATGCAAATGCAGCTCAACCTATTAGAGAAAGCTCGGCACAAAGGAAAAAACATTATCCTTAATGAAATATAGTAAAAATAGATGAAAGGCAAATTGTAGTTTGGAAGTTTAATAACAAGAAACTGTGACTAGATGATACTTTGAATGCTTCGGGGCTCATGTCGAAGATGACTAGAAAAAAAACCGTGTGGAAGTTGACCTGGTTAAATGAGAGGTGATGTCAAATATTGAATTCATTCCCGTGAATAACACTGTTTACAGTAGATGGCTGGATTGATCTGATGCAACCACACAGCAAGCTGGCACATCAAAGTCTGCAGTTATATCACAAGTTATTGAAGATTGCCAAACATGCAAAACGCTAACCATAGCTTTGGGCCACAAAACTCCACTTGCTTTGGTGTACAACATTATTTAAAGGGGTCATATTTTGGTCATTTTTAGGTTCATAATTATATTCTGTGCCTTTTCTGTGACGTGTTTACCTGCTGTCACTACAGTATGTTACAGAAGAAGACAAATAACTCAAATGGCCTTCACAGAACATTTACAAGCGCACAAACATATATATAACACACTACAGGAAAGGAAAACCCCCAAAAACATTATAGGGCATCTTAAAGGCTGTACCTTTTTTCTTTTATTATTCAGTTACTGAAGTTTGGTCTATAAAATGTCAGAGAAAACTGAAAAAAGGCAACCTTAATCCCCCAAAGCCCAATGTGACATCATTACCCTGTTTGTTTCTGAACAAAATGCCCAAATGCCATAGATATAGGGCTGCTCAATTAATCGTATTTTAAATCGCAATTACGATTTTGGCTTGCAACGATTATGAAAACAACATAATCGAAATAAAACGATTTTCTTTTTAATTTTTTTCAAAAGATATTTTATTTATTGGTTTTTCAGTTGAATTATACTTAAAGTTCAGGGTAATCAACTGTTAGAAATATACTGTTCATTTTTTCAATAAATGTATGTTTTCAAAGTAAATGGATAATCGTTTTTAATAATCGTGATATCAATTATTGACCCAAATAATCGAGATTATGATTTTTGCCATAATCGAGCAGCCCTAGTAGATATAGAATTTTGCCTTTTTGCTGAATCAATGCCTCAAATTATTATTTGTTCTTTGATGCTGCTTTCATGTCGTGAAACAGATAAACATAACATAATAAACTGTTTCTAAAATTAACCCCACTCATTTTACCCCTTAAATAGTTTTCAGTATCCACTCTACAAGCCATGCAGTTCATATAGTATGTGTAGCTACCGGTACATTATTAACTGTATGGCCAAAGCTCTCATCACTGCTGACCTTTAGCCTAATCTCCACAGCTTCATGGATTATCTGATGAGGTTAGCACGGATTCCAAAAGCCATGTGGGGCAGGGATCAATGACTTGGCTTGACTGGGTTATGGGTGCCATATGCGTTGGGCCATAAATCCCAGACTATATTTAGTCTCAGAGGCAGAGAGAAACAGTGTAAAGCTTTCTGCACCGTCCAACACATTCGTTAAGTCATATTACATTACTAGCAAGTCATTTCTTCTCATTAACTTTTCCTGATTCTGTTACAGTATCCCATACCAAGCTTGTTATTCCTGACAAGGTTTCCGTGCCATGGCTTTGACTTTTTCAGATTGAATTTACCACACACCCCCTCCCTTTGAAATCTCATCTGCTGTACTTTGACTTCTGGCAGTTCACCTCATATTGTCAGCGAGAGGGCAGTGCTAGCCTGAAGCAGGACACATGTAGTCTGCATAACTGTAGAGGACCATCTGCTCAGTGTGAGCTGTGCACTGTACTGTACGCACAGAAAGACCCCCTGCTTCTGCTACTGGTACAGAGCAAGAACATCAAGCATATCTCTCGATGTAACTCAAACTTTGACTGTATTATATTATAATGGATTTTTATTTTTTGCTTACGTAGCAGCCCCATCTCATTTCGATTACAAATAGTGACTGTGACAACTGAGAGAAAGAGAGTATTCAGATATCTCATGCACTTGCACTTATCCAACCTCAGGGTAGCTCTTTGTGGCTGCGGGCGAAGCAGCCAAGTGTGGAAAATTCCTATTGAAAACAGCACCAAAAGCTAAGATGATTGATTCGCTCTGAGGATAGATGGAGCGGATCAATCCATCATGGTGTTCTTCTTCAGCCTCCGTGGTCTAAGACCCTATTTATCTCTGAAGCCATTTGCAACAAATGAAAATAGCCCAGAGGGATCCTCTTGACACGGCGGAAATAGGTGTATTCTAATGTGTATTTATAAAGATTGATAAACATGCACACACTGACATGCTTTATGGATTTCATATGCATTCTAATATGTTCTGTAACGGCGTCATATTTAATGCTTAGTAGGGCTGGAAAATTCTTAAATTACAGCCCTGGGTTTGTATGCCTGC